TATACTACTGGCATCTAAAGGGTGAATGCCAGGGATACTGATAAATACTCTACAATATATAGAACAATCCCCCATCCCATCCTGCCATATACTCAGCACAGAATTGTCAAGCCCAAAATGTCAATAATACTAAGATTAAGAAATCCTACAAATTAAACCAGTCCAGACATTGATTTCTGTTTGAAAATATTTTTGAGGGAAAAAAAAGTGCTGTAAACAGGAAAATAATGACTTAGAAACAGAAATGGGACACAGAGTTTGAAGTGCTGCAGGGTGAAGATTGGGACAAGAATCTTGGCTTTGCCCCTTAAATTATGTGATACTGGGCAATTCATTGAGCTTCTCAGAGACTGCTATGGTTTGGGTGAGTCACTCAAATGTCCATGTGTTAGAGGCTTGGTCCCCAGGGTGATGCTCTTGGAAAGAATTGTGGGTTATTAGGAGGTAGATCTTATGGGAGGTTATGGGAGGCCCTTAGGTCACTGGGGTTGTATCCTCAAAGGGGACTGAGGGACACTCATCTCTTCTTCCTTTCTGCTTCCTGGCTAATGTGGAGGACTTTCTGGCTAATGTGGAGGACTTTCTGGCTAATGAGGTGAGCAGTTTGCTCCACCATACACTCCTGCCACAATGTGCTGCCCTCACTGGAAGCTCAAAGCAAATGGAACCTTCAGTCTTAGATTGGAGCCCCCCAAAATTGAGCCAAAATAAACTTTTCATTTTTATCAGTTAATTGCTCCAGGTATAACTTAATTGCTTCAGGTATTGTTTGTAACCTCCAGAACTGTGAGCCAAAATAAATCTTCTCTCTTTATTAGTTAATTGCCTCAGGTATCTTGCTATAAAGACAGGGAAGTAATACACTGTTGAAGAGAAATTCAGTCAAGGTGACTTCAACCGAGTTGGTATACAATAACAAGGAAAAATCAGTCGAGGCTTTGCTCTCCTTAGCATCTCCTAATATGGGAAGATGGAAGTCCCACACACTGAGATGCTTATCAGTCCTCAACTCCTAGGAAGCTTGGCTCTGACCTGAAAAGCCCTTATTGCACCATGCTCAGGGTTCTCACAGCCCTCGCAGCATAACCTGCCACCTGCTCACAGCAGAGAAAGGATCTTGAACAATCCCAGTCAGCTCAGCCTCCCAGGGGGCCCAGAGCTGTGGCTAAAATTAATTCCTCATGTTCAACTCACCTTTCACCTCCCCTCCCTTGTCCTCACCATGGCATTGTATAGAGATAGCAATCAGAGGCTTTATAAGGAACATTTGTCAGTGCCTGGACGATAGCTCTGGGCTGTTTCTTCTTTTATTTCCTCTCCCATTCCTTAGTCTTTCTATTTTCAGGTTCAAAGAAAGAAGTTGCTTTTGAGTTCTATCTCCCAGAATTAAGTGATATAAGATTCCAATTGCTATAGAACTATTTCCATTTTGGATCCTTACTGATTCAAAAAGAGCCAGTGCTACAAGCCCTGTGCCCAGCTGGGTTCTAAATATTCCACAGTGGGATGTTTCAGTAGAACCACATAAAATCCTATAAATGCCCATGAGAAGATCTGAGAGTTGACCCATTCATCCTTGTGCATGGTTGACACAGTCAGCCCTGGTGAGTAAGAACAGTTCCCTTCAAAACGAGACAACTTAACTGAATATTTTGTAGGAGCTACTCCATATTTCTTTACCATTTAAACATTAGCAATAGATGAGGAGCTAGACAGAGCTACTCTTTATAGCTCCTAATGGTTTACTATTATCAATAAAACAATGGTTTGGAAAAAAGAAGATATATCTTTTTTTTTTTCAGAGTATGTATCAAGATTGCCTATATAAGTTGGTGGCTTTGTACTTCAATGTCCAGATACAGAGGCCATTTTTGTCTCAGAATTTAAAGCAAACAAATTAAACTTTTCCAGATTATTTTAATGGTACTCTTAAGTTTAGTTAAGTGGATCCTTTCAATCAGACAGAAAAGAAGGCAGGAGAGAAAATAAGCTAAGACCATAATGGTGAGCCACTCCCAAGAAGTCTTGGCAAAGTAGAACATAAAACTCAAAGGTTTTTTTGCACTCAACCTAGCATAGGATTACTACTTTTCATGTGAGGCAACAAAATCAAGAATGGCTCCAGGATAGCCTAGAATCAGTGGAGTCAAAAGAATTTTTTTTTTCTTAAATGAGAATTTTCTATTCCACATCTCATAACAGCCACTTTTGTGTGGTCACTGGAAATTTACCTTTGAAATACAACACTTTGAAATAAAGAGAAATTAATTTAAGATGTCACAAGAAGAAACATGCTCATTTCTACATCCTGCAATTTGCAATGAAAGCAATAGTGAAAATTTTGCCGAATTGGGAATAGAATCTGGTCTTGTTCTGTCCCTCATTTCCTATGTGATTTCAGGAAAGGATTATCATCTCCCTGTCTCTGTTTTGAAATGGAGAATAAAAATATCAACTTTACTCAACTTACAGACATTAAGAGTCAAAGTGATATAATATGCATAAGCATACATGTCATAATTTAAAATGCCACCACAATGCTTGGTAGTCTTCATGGCTAACATTGAATACTGACTTAATTGCCCAGTATTTTGTTGAGCAGTTCACAAGTGCCCATCTCAATTAATCTTAACTTTAACTCCAAAGAGAATTCTCATTTCCCCATTTTCCAGATGCAGAATCAGAGGTTCAGGTAGATTCAATAACTTATGTAAGGTTTGGAACGAGACACCAAATAAGAATAAGCACTCAGAGAACTAACAAAATAGAAAGACACATAAATGAGACTCTCAGAAGAAAGAATCTGATATATTCTTAAATTTTTATAGCAATTCTGAGAAGAACCATCAAAACTCTCAGAAACTCTTACACTCATGGTTTAGTGTTGTATTTTGCATCTATGTCGGGGAGAGGCACCAAATATTTCAGTGTTTAGGGTGTTTCAAGGTCTTAATCCTACCGCCTAGATACAACTGATGAAGCCAAGTTCTCAGGGCGTCAGTTGACTCCAAGGCCCACACTTATAACTGCCATACTGTCCCCTGTCCTGAAATAATAACATATGTTATTACTAAATAACAGTTACAATGATAATAATAGTTTTCAGGAGAAAGCAATGCTATCAAAGAAAGGTTTATTCTGCTTTGAAAACATACAGGAAGCAACCCATAATTTGGAACTAAAGACACAAAGAGAGGTGCACGGCAAGGGTCACTGGTTTTCTTACCTATCTCTGGCTTTAAAATGACCATTTAAAAGCCTTCTCATTGCTGGCAGCAAACTGGTGGATTCTCTATTGGCTCAGGGCAAGTGTTTAACATCAATTTAGAAATCTTTGAAATTCCTAATGGAAACAAAACAAACCCTCCAGCAGCAATTTTAAGGCCAATGATAATATACATGGAGAGAGAGATTGATTTTTCCTATGAGCAAATGAACAGCTTCTAAGAGCTCAGGCTATTTTGGTTTCTCTCACCTACCCCCACCAATTCCCCCAGGGTTTACGCAAGAAGCATTTAAAAATCAAGTCTATTAATGTCCAGTGTATTTGGATGATGATAAGAATTCATGGTAACTGCGAACACCTCTGGCTTGCTCTAAGTTTTCAAAGATAACCTCATGAGGTCTTTGGGGTGCCTTAGTCTAAGCATTACTAACAGGCCCCCAGCGATGACTGAGATGACAGCTTTTTTGAAAACTGAGATAGTAGATGAATGGGTAGTATGGACATTTTGCTCCAATCCCTTGGGGACCCTTGCTCTTCTAATTCTTAAACCACATAGAGGGAGACTCTGTATATTAGGGAACAACCTAACAACACAGATACTTCTGATTGGCTTTTAATAAAACTTAATGATGATTCAGGCATAAAAACATCATCATAGATTTCAAGCTATTCAAACATCTTGGGCTATGAGAGTAGACATATTTACTCTGAGTATTTGTCTCAAATCTGATAATTATTAGTTAGCTAGCTCATAGACTTCTAGAAATGTGCTTCTAGGGTCTTTGTTGATGTGCCTGTCTCAGTGCATAGGGAGTGAGAGGAAAATAGGAATTGAGGGAATTCAAAGTACAGGATAGAGAGATAGACATGGTGTGGGGAGCACACCATTCTTGGTTATTTTCTTTCATCCATCTACCTGGTAACAATGGAACTGTGAAGTTAAGGGTCCTTGCACCTTTATGATCAGGGCTCAAGGCTCTTCCTAGGAAAAGTGAGAGATGAGAGGAAAAGCTAAGGGATTATTTGAATGATCCCTTTAAAGGAGGCAACCTTTTCTCCCGTTGCCCTTGATTCAGCCATCTGGCTCTGGGAGTTTGTTGCCTGATGCTCCTTGACTGTAAAATTTAAATGGATGATTAACCCCTCTCTCTCCCACATCAGCCTGCTTGCTATTAAAATGACTACCAGGACCAATCTCTGAAAATCAAGGCAGGCTGTGTACAAGTGAGAAAAATACAACCGCCAAAGTCAGCCAAATAATGCAATTCCACCCGTGCTTTTATTCTCCCTGTCCCCCTACCTTAATGTACATGCACTGCAGTTTAGTAAACCTTTTGTTTTCTTCTGCCATCTCGGGCCATCTGCACCTTTAATCATACCTGAGTAAATGGTACCACAAACTTCAGATCTCAAGTTGATTACCTTGTAATGATCCATGATAGCTCACAATAGAGACAGAGTCCCTTTCCTGCACTGCTATCATTTGTAGCTCCCTGGAAAAACTATAGTAATTGTTCTTTGTATGAACCAGTCAGACAGTATTGGTTAAATTGGGCAAAAAAATAAATGTGCAGTGCATAGCTAGTAAGTCTCCAGAAGTTCCCTATACTGAGCAAGTCCTATAAGAAATCACTTATCTTCTCAATGTAGAAAGCATGAATATGTGTTTCTCTCAGTGTTTCGTGATTGGTAACAGTCACGAGAAAAATTGCCATGTACCAAGTGAGAATGGGAGCATGAAAGAGAAGATGGCTATTGAGAGCAAAACTGGTACCTGTAGGATAGTGTTCATTCACTGGCCAGTTGTCCACCTGGAGGGTGGCATTGCCTCCATTCCTGGTGAAGCGCACCACGTGGTATTTGCCATCATTGACCGGGGTCCTCTCCTCTTTGATGGAGATGTCAACGGTGCCAATATTGAAAACAACACCAATTTTTCCCTGTTCCTGTAATTTAAAAAAGAAAAGAAAATAGGCATAGTTATCACTGACCACAAACTTTTCTCCCTTAAAGTTGATCCTCCAACTAGCAATAAACCTGTAGGTGCCTCAAGGGAGCTGTCAGTGTGAAGTTAATAATAGTATCCTATATTTCTCCATGGGCTTTCATGCTGAACATAAAAACCAATGGTATAAAGCCACCCAAATTGCTCTCACAGGCTGCATTGCACAGGTTACATCATCCATTGCCCTCAACGGATATCAAGGCTGAAACCACAGAACTACCTAACAATGAGGAAGTGACATTGCAAAGTTCATTTCTGCAAGATGGATTAGGTCTGTTTTTCTAAAAGAGGCTAATACAACACTGGGTCCTAAATCATTTCACCATTCCAATTTGGATTAAAAAGGAAATATGAGCCTGCCTGCACGTTTTGAGGCACTTGAGGCCAAGGGTAGAGTTATAGAATGGTTCAGAGCCAATGGCAGAGCAATTGGCATTATAGACCAAATCCCAGTGATACTTTCTACAGATCCAAACCACATTTAAAATGGTATTTTCAGAAAAGGATAGTGAAACTGAGCCAGGGTTTTCAGAATGAAATTGCTGCCATTCTTCCTACACTGGTAGCCCTATTCCTCAAGTTAATCCAAAGACAGATGTAATAGTCAGTGTTATAGATTATGTTACACAACAGAAGAATATGTCAGTGGTTGCAAAAAAACTTGTGAGAGGGCAAATTTCAATGAATGTGAGAAGAGTGACATTGTGAAAATGAAAATGATTATGGAGATGGTGATAGTAGTGGTGATGAGGTTATTTCCTGGAAAATGCCAGAAAACACTAAACCACAAATAATAATGCTATTAAAACTTTTCCTCTAGTAATTGGTTAAGACTAAGAATTGGAATTAGTATTTCACAATGTAACAAAATGAAAGTGACCTCGGGGATCCTGTACATTCAGCTTTTTTCAACTTCTTAGGGTGCCATTGCAGCACAGTAAAGTAGAGGAAGGATGGGGCAAGAGAGAAGAAAAGAATCCTCCTATATTTCTCTAGTTTTCTGAATTATTGGCAATACATTAGACATGCAAAAATAATAAAATTCAGCTGCAATTCTGATGTTCTACAAGAATGGGTCACAGTATTTGTTCACTAGCTTTTTTTATTCTCTATTTGTTCAAGAAGTAGAAGAAGAGATTGAAAAAGAAGCAAGTGAATATGGTTAAAGAAATATAGAATCCGTATTAACTAAGTTCTAGGAAAGATATCACTGAATTCTAGATTTAGTAATTCACTCTTTCAATACATAAATCAATATTTATTAAGCACCTACTGTACTGAAAGTCAATAAATTAAGACTTCTTGTGAGATGGGCATTGATTTCCACATAGTTTGATAGATTTCACTTGTTTTCCCAAAACATAGTTGTCTTCAACTTGCCATTTGTCCTTTAGTATGCAAATACATCATGTATTCAATTGAAAGAATGAACAAGTACCCAAAGTCTTGATCTTAGAAGACAGCAATACAGACCAGTCAACAAAAATGCCATCCTCATTCAGGGATGCAAAGATACAGAATGGACATCATTGTGTCCTTTGTGTCCTCACAGCATGGCACACAGCATCAGGTGATACCAACAATTCCCACCTGCTATTCCCTGGAAAAAGTGATCCAAATGCCTACTCAAATGGTAACCAAGCATACTTAGGACTTCTTAAATCTCTGTTGGGATCACTGGTTCTGTCTTATTTTGTTTCATCTCTACATCTCCATACTAAACAAAGTACCTCACATTAAAACAAAATGATGAATGGAAACATGAACCTGACTATGGGTTCTTTTTTGGACCTTCTGTGCCTATAATCAGTAACGTTATGATCCAATTTATATTTTCTCCTCCATCCTCAAGGAATTTAGAAATGACAACGTGACTTTTCTATTTTCTCTTAGAGAACTGTCATTTATTTCTGAGGGTGTGTGTGTGTGTATGTGTTCATACCCTCATTCCTAAATAAGCAAGGCTATGATGGCTTGAGTCATAACCTGCTTAGCAGAATAAAAGGACTGGAGGAGGCAAGAAACCACGACTACAGACACCATTCCTCCTCTGCCCACCCACAGACGTGGGGTGTTTATTGCACCCCTGCTCTTCAACGAGAAACCACTACATAAATCCTGGATGCATGAAAGGGACGGCTGGTGATTCAATTTACCTCTGAGTCACTAATTAATCACGGATGGAGAACAGTTTTAGGGGGAGAAAGGAGACCTTTAAACTAGCATTCTGCAGCTTTTCAGCAACAGCAGCGGCAAAGCACAGTTTTGGCTCAGTGAGTTGGCTGATCAACAAGATATATTCTTCGGCAGATTTTCTGCAAGATCCATAATAGATCCAGGAAAAGAAAAGATTTAATCTCTGCCAGAATAAATATTTCGTCCTTATCTAAGGCACCACACATTTGCCATTGCAATACTGTTTCGGAGAGATCTTCTTAATCCTGTTAGCACACGGCCAAATTCATGGTAGACCCTCACCCAGATGTTTCATTTTGCTTCCTGCAGTGGTAAATGTGGCTGGACTAGACCTCAGATGTGGTCTCTTTATTTGTAGTAATAAGATTTCATTCCCACTACCTCCTTGTCATTTGTCATGGGACCACAGTGCATTATAATTTGTGGCTAACTATTTTGTTTCAGTTCATTATAAGTCATGGAAGCCTTGTGGCAAATACCCATATAGTTGCCCAGGCCTGAATCCCTTGAGTTCAGCTGCCATAAAAATAAACTGTGGGGCTCATTGCAGCCACAGAAGAGATGATGGGAGGGATAAAAAGCATTTTTTTTTTAATTTTATTTTTTTATTGGTTGTTCAAAACATTATAAAGCTCTTGACATATCATATTTCATACATTAGATTCAAGTTGGTTATGAACTCCCAATTTTACCCCAAATACAGATTGCAGAATCACATCGGTTACACATCCACATTTTTACATAATGCCCTATTAGTAACTGTTGTATTCTGCTACCTTCCCTATCCTCTACTATCCCCCCTCCCTCCCCTCCCATCTTCTCTCTCTACCCCATCCACTGTAATTCATTTCTCTCCTTGTTTTTATCCCAGGATTTGGTGTCAGCTCTTAATGACTTTGGGCAAGTTACTCAACTATTCTGAACCCAATTCTTGATAATACAGGATAGGGATGAAATACCAGCTTTCTGTATTCAGAGGGCTTTTTCAAAGATAAAATAAGATGATGAATATGATAGTACTTTACAAGTAACAAAACATTATGAAAATATTAGAAATGGATGAGCTCAGGAGAAGGGGCTCATTTGACCATCAGTAATGATCTGTGATTACTGAAGAAGTTGATCAGTTCAATAGGATAAACAGATTTTTTAGCTTAGCATGTGACTGATAATACCTCTGTCTCTTAACATTCTATGGTCTGTATGAAGATTTGAAAAAAAAAATTCTATGGTCCGAGGCAGGTTATTTAACTTCTAATTTCTCTCCTATAAAAGGATACATCAAGGAAGAAGAAGGAAACTGCTCCCTTAAAAGCTTGTTGTGAGGGCTTGGGTTGTGGCTCAGTGTTACAGTGCTCACCTCACATGTGCGAAGCTCTGGGTTCGATTCTCAGCACCACATAAAAATAAATAAACAAAATAAAGCTGTTGTGTCCAACTGCAACTAAAAAATAAATACTAATAAAAAAAAAGAAAAACTTGTTGTGAGGTTTACAGAAGAGTCCATGTGTGTGAAGCACCTGCCACGTGGCTGTGTATGCTTCTGGAACTCAAGAAATGTCCATCTTCTTTCCTCTCATTAGTTAATTAAAGTATTGGCATGAACTGAGGTCTGGTTGGTTTGGCTGACACGGTCAACAAAATATATTGTGAAAATAAATGTCAGTTTTAGCAAACAGACCATCAAAAGGCTCTGTGTGGTTATGATTCCCTGTCAACTACAATTTGCTGGCTCTTCTCTTTTCACAGTCCTTGGTGCCTTTTATAAGCCTTTCTAAGATAAGCAAAGTGGAGCTGCAGAAACAGCTTGACTATAAATTTTAATAACTCCACACCCATCACCACTGAAGTTGCTACCAAGGCAATCACTTCAATCTATCTTCTTCCTTGATATTAAAAACAAAGACAAGTGGTAAATCAGAAGACATTACCTAAGGATCCTCAAGTACATTCAGGAAAGAAAGGGAAAGGGATAGAAAACAGCTTGTCTTTGGATAGCCAGCAAGTCCTACTGATGAGCCAACCTGCCTCCTTACATCATTACAGCTCCAGCTGATCCTTTCTGATCCTCCACCAGCCATATTACTGTTATTGCTGCAGAGGTGACCCAAGAGATACCACCAACACCAGGGTCATACTTCAGGAACAGAAATGTACAGTGGCAAGATAAATCCCCAGGCATAAAGAACTCCCTCAAGTCTACCTCTTCATTTATTCCAGAGTGCCCCCAGGGAAGGCAGAAGGCACCATCTGCTATTTCAGAAAATTGCAGGTGACAGGAACAGAACGGAGATTTCAAATGTATGCCAGGGAGCTGTGCAGTGGAAGCACTTCTCCATATCATCATTGCTCGGCTTCCTACAGAATTTGTTAGTTCAGTGCTTGACAATAATACAAGGAAAACAACATGTAAATGTTGCCTCCTGGGGCCTGGGCTCTTCGAGGCCTTCCATACCCATTTCAAAGTCTGGTTCATTCTACACCAAGTAACCAGTGGTACTATCTGCACATTTGTCTAGTTCTGCCCATTATGGGGTCATGGTAAGAGTGACCTCTTGGGTTCCCTAAGAAAGATAAGGCCAACAGACCAGTGTTGACTGACAGATTGTCATATTTTCAGCAAAGCATTTAATTGTTACTACGAGACCTTCCCAAGACTTCTCATTGCTGTGAACCCCTGTGCCCAGCAAATTCCTGGTCGGGGCTGACAGTCTGGGCCACTGTGTAAGGACAGCAAGAAACCAA